TTATTGATTTCAGAGAGAGGAAGGGAGAGGGAGAGAGAGAGATAGAAACATCAATGATGAGAGAGAGTCATTGATCGGTTGCCTCTAGCACGCCCCCGACTGGGATTGAGCCGGAAACCAGGGCATGTGCCCCGACGGGGAATCGGACCGCGATCTCCTGGATCACAGGTCGATGCTCAACCGATGTGCCACTTGGGTTGGGCTGTAGCTACCTTTTGATTAATTTAAATTTGACTGCTGGGTCTGCCCATAACAACGGAGTTTAGAGGCATCTTTTGAACACGTGGTCTCTTGAGTGGATGGGGGTAGAGCTCCCACAGTTTCTATATGGTAACGCAGTCATTGGGGCATAGGGATCGGAGTTGCTTGGAGAAAGTGGTGTGAACTTGTTCATTTTCATAGGACCACAGTAATTGCTTTCTCTTCAGCTTAGGGAACTGTGCAAGGAAAATGCACTGGTGAAAGGACAAATTATTACCCTCGAAGAGACCGTGCATGTCCATGAGATAGAGGCAAAAGCCAGCCGAGAAACGATCATGAGGCTGGTTTCAGAAGTCAACAGAGAGCAGAAAAGAGCTGCCTCCTGCGCCGAGGAGAGGGACAGGCTGAACCAGGTACAGTGCGTGAAGTGTGTGTGCATCCGCGGTCATGCTTATGGAGCAGAAATTGAAGACTGGGTGCCGGTGGGCACACCTGCTCCGCAGGCCGCAGTCTCCCAGGGCTGCTCCTAGCGGGAGGGCTGGCGGCGTGGGGCTCAGTGACCCGAAGAGGCCGTTCGGTACATAGCCAGAAAATTAGAACAGAGAGATACGAAACACAAGGACAGAGTTGGTGGAGAATGTCTTCCTTTAAACCATAAGGATTTAAAAATTTTTTCAATTTATTTATTTGAACAAGATACAAACTTCTAAGTGGACACAATAGTATATGGTGAGAAGTCTCCCTCTAACCCACTTCCTGCAGCCACCAGTTGTTCTCAGAGGCAACCTCTGTTAACGATTTCTTATACCTCCCTAGAGATATTCCATACACACATATGCATATATGCATATACTTTTTTTATTTATTTTTAACAGAGGCAACATACTCTACAAGGTATATTTTTCTCTTTATTTAAAAAAAATGGGACTCTACTACATCCTATCATGAACTCGGGTGCTGTCAGTAATCTCATATCTTAAGTGCGAGAATATATCAATAAGACAAAATCCTAGAAGCAGGCTTGCTGGGCCAAAGAATATGGGTATTGTAATTTTGAGACATGTTGCCAAAGGAAACTGACTCTTAATTCTAAACTTTTATTTGTACAGTGAGTTGCTTGATCTTTTCAAATTAGCTGGACCTGTTTAAGCATGAGAATTAATACTGTATGTCTTTTAACACTAAAGAAACCTTCAATTGTATTTTTAAAATCTTGTGATGAAGAAACCAATTCTTGGATTAATAGTAATGNACCTTCAATTGTATTTTTAAAATTTTGTGATGAAGAAACCAATTCTTGGATTAATAGTAATGATCAATTTCCAAAAGCAAACATGAGTAGTGCAGTTAGTTACTAAAATACAGAGGAGACAATTAAATAGTAAAGGAGATGGAATTTGAAGTTAGGTAATGACTGAGGCAGGAAAGAGAGGTTCCACGCGGGGTCAGGGCCCTGTGGCGTCCCCCAGGCTGAAGGGTCCTGGACTTGGTGGGATGCAGTACAGGGAGCCACCTTTGCGGGAGTCTCCTTCTGGGCCTTCCATGTCTGCGGTGATCACTGCCAAGCTGGGTGCGATGGGAGGATGGGGTGTGAAATGATTCGCAGTAATGATAATAATTTTCACCCCCTGCCTTTCCCAATTCCCCGCATCACAAATCCCTTCTTACCATTGGCTTTCTTCTCCTGACACAATAGCTTTGAGAAAAGAGCTCAGGTCTTATCATTGTTACCAAGTGATTTTAATCATTTCAAAACCCTTGTGTTAGTCAGCTTGGGTCACCCTACTGAATACCACAGACTGTGCGGCTTAAACAACAGACATTTATCTCTCACAGTGCTGGAGGCTGGAAGTGCAAGATCAAGGTGCCTGGTGAGAGTTGTCTTCCTCGCCTGCAGAAGGCTGCCTTCTTGCTTTGTGCAGAGAGGGAGAAAGTTCTCTGGTGTCTCTTCTTACCAGGGCACCAATCCCACCATGATGACACCACTCGCATGATGTCATCTAAACCTGATTACCATTCAAGGGCCCCATCTCCAAACACCATTGCACTGGACATTAGGGCTTCACCATATGCATTTCAGGGGGGACACAGTTCAGCCCACGGCAATCCTCAATTACTTTACGCCAACATTTTCTTATGAAAAAATGTAAATATATAGAAAGAGTGAAGAAATACGGTTAACACCGATCCACAAAAATGTAACAGTTGTTAGCATTTTGATATATGTTTTATTATGTTACACCACCCTACATAACCACAATGCCATTATCACATCCCAGCATTAACAGTAGTGCCATGGTATCATCTGGGGTGATTTTCAAGCCCACTGGTTTCTTGTTCTCCCTTTGAGATGTGGAATTTTATTTCCCTTCCCTGTGTGGGCTGGACTAAGTGACTCACTTCCAGTGAATAGAATATGTCAGAAGTGACGAGATGTCACATTTGAGATTGGGTTATAAAAAGCCTGTGACTTCTTAGATGCTCTTTTGATCTCTCTTGCGCCATTGCTTTGACGGGAGCCAGCTGCCATGTGATGAGACCATTCAGGCAGCCTGTTGTAAGACCCATGTCGCTAGGAACTGAGGCCCATCAGCTACCGTGTGAGAGCACGGAGGTGAATGCTCCTTCAGTTGAGTCTTGAGATGACTGTCATGCTGGCCAGCAACTTGACTGTAACCTTATGAGAAACCTGGAGTCAGAAACACCCAGCTAGGTCATGCCCACGCTCCTGGCCCTGAAAAACTGTGAGATGATAAACATTTGTGTTAAGGGACTAAGTTCGGGGTAATTTGTTTCACAACAATAAATAACCAATAATCACCTAATATTCAACATTCAGCTTTCATCACTTGCTACAAGAATGCCTTTTATAGCTGTTTTCATCCTCAAATTGGGGATCCAATCTATGTTTACTCATTGTGTTTGTTGATTATTTTTAGCTTTTATAGTTTTGTTTTTTTAAAAAATAGCATTGGCTTGTTGGAGAGAAGTGGCCTGATTGCATCTTCATGATATTATTTAGCTTGTTTTTCTATACCCTCTACACTTAAAGTTGTAGTTAGAGTCTGGATTGGATGCAGAGTAAACCTTTTTGACAAGAATATTTCAGTGGTGAAGTTGTGTGCTTCATGTTGCATCACATTGGAGGCGAGTAATAGGAGACTCTTCCATTGTCGCTGACACCAAGTTTGCCCATCTCTTTAGCGTAAAGGTGTATTTTTTCTTCAGCTTTTACATAAGGTATCTGTGGGGTAATAATTGGCAGGTGAATCCTGTTCCCCATTGTGTTCCCCTAGTGGCATTAGCGTCCATCGATCCTTGCCTGGATTAATTTACATCAAGGGTGGTGGCAAAGTGGTAATATCCTAATTTTACTGTCTTACTTATTAGTTGGCATTCTTCTGTAAAGAAAAGCTTTTTTTTTTTCTTTTCTCTTTCCTTTTCAATTCTATGGACACATGCATTTTTACTTATTTACTGTGTTAAAATCAATTATTCTTTTTTTGGTGTTGAAAACCCATCAAATTTGGCCAGCAGAAGACCCACCGAGATGGTCTCTGTACCTTGTAAGCTGACTCCTTTCGTCTTTCATCGCCTCCTTGCTTTCCGACGGGAGATGCTATCTTGGGCTCACTTACAACTTTCAGACTGCAAACTAAATTAGCCCATTTGCTGAGGAGCTTTGTTTCCTTTTACTGGCGAACGGTGCTTAGAAACAAGATTTAGGCTTTGCATGCTCATTACTATTGGGGGTGTTGTTGCTCTCAGTGGATGGAGCTAGAAAAATATTTTTAGTAATAAATTTATAGAGGTATTTTTATTTATTTTTATAAGTAAATTTATTGGGGTAACATTGGCTACTAAAATGATATAGGTTTCAAGTATACATTTCTATGATATGTCACCTCTGTATTGCATTGGGTGCCCACCACCCAAAGTCAAATCTTACTGTGTCGCCGCATATTTGACCCCTTTACTCCTTACTAACCCCCCGCCCCTTGCCTCTGGGATCCACCGTACTGCTGTTGTGTCTGTGATGCTCAGTGAAATATGCCAGACAGAAAAAGTCAAGACCTATATGGTTTCACTCATCTGTGGGATATAAAACTGAAAGCAACAAAGAAAAACAAACAAAAAATCACGGTATTTTTAGTAAAAAGAGTTTTCTTGATATCTTTTTATTTTCTGTCCTTTGAATACCAACAATATGTACTCAGTTGCTTTGTCTTAAAATATACATAAAATTATTTCAGAATTGCACTTTTAATGCTTTACCTATTAGTAAGTTTCTGAGTGAAGTTTACGGCTCTCCAACTTTTCCCATTAGCACTATCTCCAGTCACAGCGTGGTCGTCATTTGCCAAGCACTCACCGTTCACACCGCGGTTGTGCTAAGCGCTCAGAGACTTTATATGCTTTGCTCAAGTTCACATGGCAATTAAGTAGCAGCCCTGGGATTTGCACCCTGGTCATTAAATTATTATGCTTTCATCAGTAATTCCCTTCACTTGTATATTCAGAGCTACCTTCCACCTACAAGCCTGATGCCAAAAATTATTTGTTAGTGAAACAACAACAATGAGTAGCTGTGCAGATTTCCTCAGTGAATGAATAACTTTAATCAGTTATAAATAGTAGTTATTGAATTATCAGGCTTGAAAATTAGGAATTTAATATGTATCTATAAAGACGCATTTCTGAAGATGAGCAGAAAGAAATGAAAACATGTTGCAAGAGCACACTATGAAAAACAGAACTCATTCCTTTCCTTACATAAGTGTCTGTACTTGTAAATGACTGATGCAATGTTGCTCAGACTTTGGAAGCACACTCACCTTGGGACGAAGTTCCTGCCAACATAATAAAAATTGTAAAAAAAAGTGTGGGCAATAAAAAATTTGTGGTCTTTAATAAAGTCCTCATTCATAGGGTTATGACTCCAAAGATTTATTACTGAAAAAGACTGTCAAGCGGTTTTCCTGACACACTCATGGTCTCAGGAAGAGTCTTCATCGTGCTTTCTAAAGCTCTGTTTTGAGGTAGGAAACTTATTTTATTAGCGAGGCCCAGGAGGATTACAGAGGTAGAAATATCCGCAGGGCGGGTGCTGTTTCTACCAAATTCAGCTTTTCTGATTTTCTTAGTGACTCTACTCACGTTACTTTATGAAAATGTCCCAAATAAAAATACAGGTGGCTCATTATAGATAGGGAAATATGTATGATTTAAAGTCCTTAGTAGTTGATATTGGAGTATGTTTTAAAAACCGTCAGATTGGCACCTTTTCTCTTGGTTCCCGTGAGACCGTCCAGCGTGGAGAGAAGCAGTCACCTTACCCACGCGAGCCCCGCACGCGCTTCCTGCAGACTCCAGAAGTTCAAATCAGAGGGTCAGAAAGCAAACATACGTCCTG